AGCTTCTTCTCTGAAACCGCTTAACCAATTCCAACCAAATTTGGCATATAGCATCTATGGGTGAAGGGGAAAAAAATTGTGAATTTCATGGTTCTTTCATGGTCCCTGCCCCCATGGGGCCTGAGGGGTGGGGCTAAAACCACCAAAATTAATGCAATCTTTAAAAATATTCTTCTTTACTCCTGGACATCAAGCAGTCAAACTGTTGGCACGATTGTAATAAGCATTGAGCTCTCTACCAAAATTGTGAAATTCATGGCCCCAGGGGCAGGGGTTCTGGTGCTAGATCTTCTTCTCTGCTCCTGGGTATTAAATAAACTAACTTAGTACATAGTTATGATGAGCAAGAGTGCCTCTTTCAAAATTTTGAATTTCATGGCCCCTGGGTCAGGGGTTCTGGTGTTAAGGTGGGGCTCTATTGATTATATAGTAAAATTGCATTAATTCTTTGAAAATCTTCTTTTCTGTTCCTGGATATTAAATAAACTAAGTACAAAGTTATGATGAGCATGGCTGCCTCCTCAGAAATTATGAATTTCATGGTCCCTGGGTCAGGGTTCTGGTGTTAGGGTGGGACTGTATTGATTATGTAGGGAAAAGGCATAAATTCTTTCAAAATCTTCTATGCTCCTGGGTATTTTTTCAAACAAAGGAAGTGCATGGTTATGATAAGGAAGAATGCCTCTTCCAGAATTGTGAATTTCATGGCCCTTGGGTCAGGGGTTCTGGTGATGGGGGGGGGGGGCTTATTGATTATATAGTAAAATGCATAATTTTTTTCAAAATATTTTTGCTACTACTGGTTATAAAGTAAAGAAACAAGTGTATAGTTATGATGAGCAAGGGTGCTTCTTCCAGAATTGTGAGTTCATGGCCAATGGGTCAGATGTTCTGGTGTAAAGATGGGGCTTTATTTATTTAATAATATAGTGAAAATGCATTTCTTTGAAAATCTTCTATGCTTCTGGGGATGTTCAAGGCAAACAGAGTAAAAGTTTTAATATGCAAGGGTATTTTTACCAGAATTTTGAAGACCTTGACCGTTTAGTCAAGTGTTCTGGTCATGGTCAGGGCTCGATTAACTTGTATTCTGCTGAGCAAAATTATTCCCCTTCGCCATTCACTTTTGATAATTAATCAACGTAAAAAATGTATTTGAAAGCTTAATAGAATAAGAGAATTATGCAAGAATATTTATTGCATAATACAAAAAGTACTTTCATAGTTTTAATGACTTGGAAATAATGGATGAATAAAAATAAGGCAAAAATAACATCTTTTTAAATGTTCTTTAAAGGCCAAGAGAGGCCAATATGGGGTTAAAAAAATAGACATTTTGTTAATAGTCTGCATGATCATAGTGATAAATGGGGGGGGGGGGGCAGATAGATACTAGACCAATTATTTTGTTGATGCTAATCATACTATTTTTCTTGCTTTTGGGCAACAAAGCTTCATTTATCAGTTTATGGATCCTCTAAATTGTTGTATTGTACTCAGGTGATCGTTAAGGCCCTTGGGCCTCTTGTTTGGAAATCTACCTACATGGAAGTTTTTTCATTACTAGATTTGAGTGTGAATTCCTTCTCTATGGAGGTACTGCATAACTGTCATTTTTATATTAAAATGTGTACATATAACATGTATAATTTATGGATTATCAGACATATAAACAGGATTTTGCATATAGTCATATAAGATCTAATTTCATGTAACTTTAAGGAATTTTAACTCTGTTTTCAGATATTGATGTGGAAAAAAAAATTGCACAGATTTTCCTAATTTTTACCTTCTTTTACTTTAAACCAATATTATGGCCAAAATTTGGTTAAGGTACAATGTGAACAAATCTGCATAATATAGTAGACCTTTTGCATTAGTATTTTTTACACCTATAATCAAAGATTAAGGGGCATATACATGTAGTTTATGCCTTGTTTTTCTGTCCGTTTGTTCTCAAAAAACTTAAACATTGTCAATAATGTTTGATTGGTTGGAGCTATGGCTTTCGTATTTCATGTGTATTCCTTGTGACAAGACCTTTCTTTCGGTAAACATTATATAAGTATATTATAGTATATCTTAAAGGTGACATATGGGTCCATCGTGCCAGATCAAGATGTTTGTAAATTGTGATATAATTGTAAGTGATTATCTATTTTGTTAAACACATGTCACTATAATAAATAAACACTACTACTTTTATTTGATCTCTTGGAGTTTGACCCACTTTTGCAAAATTTTACCAAATTTTTACCTTAGCTTGGCCATAACTTCTGAACAGTCGCTGTTGGTGTTAGTGCTTTCATATTTCACATGTATTTCTTGTTACAAGACCTTCCCTTAGACACCATTATTTTGACCTTTATAATTGACTTACTTTTGAAAAAAAACTTTAACCTTCACCATAACTTTTCAACGGTTAGTGCTAGGACTCTCAAATTTTACAGGCATATTCCTTGAGACAAGACCTGCTTTTAGGTAACAACATTTTTGATACCTTGACTTGGACTTTAACTTGCATTTGAGAAACTTTGACCTTCACCATAAGCTGCTATTAGGGGCATCATTGTTTCACAAACAAATCTTGTTTTTTTATTCATTTATGGCTAAGTGGAAATTTTGATTTTCTAAGATCTCTCCTTTATTTTCATTAATGTAGACCTGAATCATGTTCAAAATATAGGAGCTCCTATATAGGCCATATAGTAGCTCCCATATTTTGAACATGTATTTTCAATGTTGGTGAACAGTATTTGGGTCAATGATTATAACATGTATATGACAGAACTCCAGGAAGTCAATCCGGCTTTTCCAACATGCCTTCCTGTGCATGTTTGTCATTCAAATCCAAGACAACACCATAAAAAAATCATCACAATTTATTATCCATTTTCATATAATTTTAGTACATTCCATCTCCCACCCCGCCCTGAGTGGCAATTTTTGGTCTTGATTTTTCGACAATGAGTAAATATTACAATATAACAAGTGCTAATTGTAACGGGAACCGTTACAGATGTTCCCCAAACGGCTCCCCAATCCCTTATGATGCCCCATTCCCTACAAGCTTCAATAAATTAGACAATACTTTCGTAATATAGATGGACACTTTATTTTTAAGGGTATTTCATTGGAAAACTACTCCGATATAGCCATATGGGTATTAGCCAATCAAATTTCAGTGCATGTGCTTGCACATGTTTTCTACATTTTTCACATTAATTTTCTTATAGTGTCTCACAATACATACATTTGTGTTAAATATTAAAGAATCTCATTGAAAATTTGAGAGATGTAACCGTTTAAGTATTAGCCAATCAGAATTTAGCATACGCGCATGCATGGCCTTGCATTCAATTCTGATAGTATCATAATGTAGGAGCTCTATGTGCCTATCCATGTCATAAATTTCATCCTGTTTTGTTGAAAACCAAGGGAGTTATAGACATTTAAAGTTTCAACCAATCAGATTAAAGCACACCTGCATGAGCGTGTTTTCAAGAAATTTCCTATATAACATGTTGTAGCACCTTATAATATATACTTATATTCTAAATTTCAAAGTATTTTGTCCAAAAACAAGGAAATTATTGAGATTTTTGTATCAGCCAATCAGAGAAGAGCGCACGTGCATGCGCGTGAGTTCACACTAATTTGACCATGTTATCTTGTCTAGACTACTAATATATCTTTATATTTTGAGTTTCAAAGCAATTCATCAAGAAATATAAAAGTTACGGCTTCATCAAGTATCTCAGTCATTTCACTGATTGCACGCGCGCGCACGTGCATGCATGTGCGCGCAAAATGACCTTCGTTCCGAACACCTACAAAACATGCCTATTAACCCTAAAAAGGTTTCATGTCAATCGGATGAGTGGTTCTATGAGAACACTCCCGGACAAAAAAGTACCGGAGAAGAAAGTAGAAAAAAAGAATAATAATAATAATAAGAAGAAGAAGAAACAGAGTAAAAACAATATGTTCCCAAACTTCGTTTGGGGAACATAATAATGTACCTCTTGTCACCAAATGGGTAGGTTAATAACACATCATTACCAGATAACTTTAAATAAAATAAATGTGCAAATTACTTTCAGGAAAATGGCAAAGAAACTATTTGCAAAATATTCAAATAGCAAATGCCTCGATTATTTTGGTATACATATATACAACTTCAACAAGAGGCCCAGGGGCCACCTCGCTCAACTGAGTACTGTGGCTAGGAAAAAAGCAAAAATCAGTTTAGTATGTAAAAGCTTAAATGCACAAGTGGTTCCGACCTACCCCTAAAAAGGGGGAGTATGATTTGAACAAAATTGAATCTACACTACATGTAACTAAGGATGCTTACATATTTTCTTTGACAGTGACCTTTTTTTCCTAAAAGTTTGAACATTCATTGTGGCCCCACCCTACACCCAGGGGGTCATGATTTGAACAAACTTGAATCTACACTACCTGACAATGATTCCATGTGAGTTTCATCTTTCCTGGATCATTGGTTCAAGAGAAGAAGATTTTTTAATGGTGCCATTAAATTTTCGCTATTTTGTAATTATTAAAGTTTACAATGACAACGAGAGAAAACGGACAAATTTTGATCAGGAAAGCTCACTTGAGCCTTCGGCTCAGGTGAGCTAATAAATTCAATCAATATAAATGCAGAAATTCAAGTTTTTTTTTAAAACATGCAGATCCTAGTTCATCAGCGGCAAACTGAGACATGGCTGTGACATTTTAAATGGAGTATCAAATGGACATATTTCAAATAGAAATTTATCAAAAATGCATCACTTCAAATGGAGTGTCAAATGATGTCAAAAGGACAAATTTCATGTATAAATTAATCAGGAACAACACATGCATTCTTTCATCAAGAATTCTCTGAAATTCGCCAAGACTCTTCTTTCTTCAAAGTTATTCACATTGCAATTTTTTTGTCCAGACCAGCACACTCTTCTATCGAGATTTCTCTGATTTTTATCAAGGCTGTGTTATCTTCCCATTGCAAGATTTTTGTCCATAGGTCTTAAACTTATGACGTGCTCAAAGTCTATCAGGGTGAAGTTAAGACTCCAACATCAAATTTATGGTTCCTGAACCCTGAAAAATAACATTCAAAACACAATTAGAGTTTTTATAATTATCATGCATAATCAAGGGGACTGGGTAGGATGGAGAATTTTTTTCATGATAAGCATGACAAGTGGAAGGCTTTCAATGTGACAGCAAATTGGGTATTCCTTGTGTGAACAGAACTGGCATTTCTTACATGATTAAAAAAAATTGTCCATTTGCAAGAGTTATTTCCCTTTATGGAAAAAAACCCTCCCCATTGTTCTCACTATATCCTTTGTAACTTGCCTGTAAATTTTTTAAAAATCTTTAAACTCCTTTTGACAATTTTATACCGTATCTTTATTGGCAAAGTATGGCCAAAAAAAAAACAAATCATAATGAACATACACTACGCTATTTTGCATAGAAATGACTATGCTCAAATAAAAATCCCATGGGCCACACTGCTCACTTGAGCTCTTTGGCGTTCAGTATTGAAAAGTTAAAATTCATACTGGGTCGAACTAATCCTAAGGGGAGGGGAAGCAGGCATGATTTGAACAAACCTAAATCTACACTAACTGACGATGTTTTCTATTTCTTTGACTAAGGCCTAGATAAATAAATTGTGTGTTTCCGGTTCCCCAACCAACCCTAAAATATATGAGCCGACCCTGAAAAATTTATCCGCCGATATCTTTCCGGAAGTAAACAATTCCATTTTCACTATTAGAAATCCAAATCTCGATCACTGCGGTGTTTGGGAAAATGCATATCCTATACACATTAAACAGAAATGCCATTAGTAAGCCAACCTTTTGGGAAAAAGAAATGAACTCTCTGTTTTTCTCATTTTGTTTATTGTGAAAGTTGAATTTTAACTAATAAAATGTTAAAATAAAATAAAATGTTTTGCCTATCTACTTATTTTTTCTCGGGTTGGAATATGAAACATACTATTTATTTATCTTGGCCTAATCATGGCCTTAGAAGATTTTTAATTATCTTTCCTTTGTATTCTTGTGTAAAACTTTGATTGTCCATTGTGGCCCCTGCTAACCGCGGGGGTCATGATTTAAACAAATATGAATCTACACTACCTGAGGATTGTTCCACACGTTTTTCTTTCCTGGCCCAGTGGTTCTTGAGAAGAAGACTTTCAAATGACACTCACTAAACTTTAACTTTTTCTTAATTATCTCCCCTTGGCCCTTCATTTGAATGAAATTAAATTCTCTCCACCCAATATTACCTTGTGATAAATTGGGTTGATTTCTGGACAAAAACTTTGAAAAGTTGAAAATTTATGGATGACACACAACATTTATGTATGATAGACAGATGCCCGACACTCTTTGATCAGAAAAATTCACTTGAGCCTTAGACTCAGGTGAGCTAAATTGTAAATAATTAATTATTAAGTAGATGTCTGTTTTAAACATATCAAAAGAGTGTAAATCTAAATATAGCACCTACTAGATTATGTACATCCTAAAATTTATATTTTCTGCAGATTAAATTTAAAAAAATCTCAATGTAAAAATTTGCAAGTACCCATTACATTTTCTTACCCCCCCCCCTCCCCCCGGGTATATCTGCCAATGTAATAAATAAATAATTTTTTAATTCTTTGTAGCCATTATTGTCCTTTTTACCTCTGTGTTATCCATAATTCTTTGAGTGGAAAATCTTTTTCTTTCTTTACAACACTGATTTCTTTCTTTAAAACCTGCCTCTAAAAATCAAGACTCTTTGTTGCTCCTAAAATTAAATGTGCAAATAATTAAAAAACTAAAGCATAATTTCTTTTTCTCATGGTGACTGATGATTGAACAAAAAATGTAGAATTTCTTATATTTAGAATTTGTCAATTGACTCTTTTAATGGCAGTGGCTGGAAAAACAGAAGTGATTTTTTTTTGTTCAAAAGGTCATTGAACAGTGTCTTTGGCATGATTGGAACAAATTTGAAACTACACTATCTGAGGATGCTTCCATATTTCTTTCACTAATCATGGCTTTAGAAGATTTTTATAGATTTTTTCCCCTATAAGTGGGTACTTTCCTTGAGGCCCCACTCTACCCCCCAGGAGTAATGATTTGAACAAATCTGAATCTAGACTACCTATTAAGGATGCTTCCATATGAATATCAACAATCATTGCTTTGCTGATCTTGAGAAGAAATTTTTTTAAAGATTTTTCCTATGTATTCTTTTGTAAAACTTTGATCATCCATTGTTGCCCCACCCTAACCCCTGGGGTCATGATTTAAACAAATTTGAATCTACACTACCTGAAGGTCTTTCCACACAGGTTTCATCTTTCCTGGCCCAGTGGTTCTTGAGAAGATTTTTAAAAGATGCCATTAATTTTTCACAAATTTGTAATTACATGTACCTCCCTTTAGAAAAAGGCATGGCCCTTCATTTGAACAAATTGATTCCCCTTTACCCACGGATACTTTATGGCAAGTTTGGTTGAAATTGGCCCAGTAGCTCTTGAAAAGAAGTCGAAAATGTGAAAAGTTTACGGACAGACAAAATGTGATCAGAAAAGCTCACTTGAGACTTTGGCTCAGGTGAGCTAAAACCAAATCCAACACACGAGTGTTGCCTGATTGTGTTTAGTGATTTGTGCAGTTAACTGGTAGTTAATTGAACACATCGGGTAAAATGTAAAAATTAACAATAACATAGCTCTTGCTCATGTTAACAAACATAGGCTCATGTTAACAAACATAGGGTCGCCTGCGTGGTGCAGTGGTTAAAACATTTGCTTTAGAGTCACGGAGTAAGGCCAGGAGTTGATCCTTGTCGCGGGTTCGAATCCCATTGCGGGAGGTGGAGACCGGTCTTTCTGAATAGACTGTATAAACCTGTGTTGCAGTAGGTGCTGGCACGAAAAAGATCCCTCACTGCTCAATGACCCTGAGTGCAGAGTATAGGTCCATATGAGTGAAAAATTCTCGAGAGGGACATTAAACAACAGACAACAAAGACACAAACATAGGTGTTTGGTGCCATATTAAGAGAAATGTTTTGGTCCAATCATACATAACTACATAAAATCAGCAAATCCAGACAAGTCATCAATAGTCAGACTTTCAACTGACAGTAAGACTCAGTGTAAATGATTTACTGCAGAGAAAATTCAAGCTAAAACTGTAAAATACGAGCATATACTGTTGGTAAAGATATATCTGTTAGTAAAGATATATCATATAATTTATCGCCACTTTATCTACATATGGAACATAAAATCACCATGCAATCTCCATCCCCTATACAAAGGTATAGAGATAATTCGAACTAGTTTCTTCGGAAGCCGTAGTTCAATTACAATATGCTGACAGCTGATTTCTGAGACATTTCCTTTCTTGAATGAATGTAAATCACTTACTTGTACATTAATATCACAAAATCATCTTTACTTACCGGCATACCGCCTGACTTTCACTGGCACTGCCGCACTGTTGATACTAGCACATGGCCTTGAGTCACGTGATTATCTTCGGCAGACAAACGTTTCCTTTTTCAAGCGTCCAAATAATAATCTTACCTTCTCAAAATTGGTGAACGATTATAATTGTGCTGTGCATCAGAATCATACAAACGTTTGATTTTGTCAAGCGTCTAAATAATAATGTTGCATCTTTTCTGGTCGAGATTATTATTGTTGAACATTATAATTATTGTATGATCGATGTGGAATATAATTGTTATAATTTTGAGGCGAAATAAAAATAATGTGTACACATGGACAGACAAGATTATAATTATTAAGAAAGAATAATTATTATAATTTTGAGGCGAAATAAAAATAATGTGTGCAGACATCGACTGACAAGATTATAATTTGGAGGTGTATAAAAATAATGTCTCCGTACTAACTGAAAAGATTATAATTGTAAAGTGAGAATAATTATTATAATGTTGGGGCAGAATAAAAATAATGTGTACACGTTTTGCAGACAAGATTATAATTGTTGCAGGAAAATAATAATGTTGTAAAGAAAAACCAAGATTTTTATTTTTGTATGAGATAATTATTTTTGGTATACTTATATAGGAAAAAATAATAATAATGTGGGGGTACCCTACGGCTTTCCATAAGTATAGTATGGAAACGTGATAATTGTAATTTTTGCGGGGAAATATAATAATATGCTGTAAAAATTTTTTTTTTTTTTTTTTTTTTTTTTTTTTTTTATTAATTTGTGGTACAATTATAAATATATAGGAATGATAATAATGTGGAGGTACCCAAATTATTATTGTTGCAGAAAAATAATAATGTTGTAAAAAAGCAAGATTTTTGTTTTTTGTATGAGATAATTATTTTTGGTATAATTATAGAGGAAAAAATAATAATAATGTGGGGGTACCCTACGGCTTTCCATACCCGCCCACCCCTTACAAAGTATCCCGCACCGTTGTTTTTTTTATTTCGGTCTTTTTATAAAATCAAAAGTCAATTGGAAATATTTTGGCATAGCTCACGCATAGTTTTAGAGTTACTCCCCGTTTGTAATAAAAGTCGCGTGGCACTATTTTTAGCACAGGAGCATGTGGAGTATTACCGGTATTGCATATAATACAGGTTGTCTGCGGACTTCATATTCTAATTACATCTATTAGAACTGTTTATTAAAGGCTAAATTAGACATGTGTTGTATAAAATTTTGATAATATCGAATGTGTCATGAGTGAAAAATTAGACGTTATAGGGACAGTGGAAATCTATGATATTTTCAGACAAAACACAAGAATTTGTTGGACAAAAGAAAAATACATATTTAGAAGAAAAAAAAAAGCCAATGAGAAGTGGTAAATAACACGTAGAGCACCAATATGCACAAAGTATTGGCGCCCAGTTTCATACATTCAAGTAGTCCCCCCCCCTCCACTAGATACGTGCACGCTCTTAAACGGGTGATACTAATAAATTCTCTGAATAAGCTTGTTTTATATGTAATTATATCGTACCATGTCTTTTCTCTAAGGTGAAACAAGTGCAGGAAAATCGTCAACGATAAATTTACTCCTGAAAACCGATATCCTTCCAGAAGGCGTGGATGCAACGACAAAAATAATTTGCAAAATAATGCATTCAAAAAAGAAACGGATTAAATTATTCAACCGAGATGGCAAACTATTAGATAAAATTAAAATAAAAGAAGAAGAAAGTGGTACTCAAAATAACGAGAATTCAAGCGACTTTATGGAAGGTTCCGATGAGGACAATGACGAAGACATCAACCAAAATCTTTGTCTTGAAGAGGAAGAAAGCAGAAATTCTCAGAGTACAGAGGATGAAAAAGAAGAAAATGTTCACGCTGAGGAAGATGACAGTGATACTTGTTCTGTTTTAGAAAGAATATTTGAAAGTTCTTCAGAATCATCTTCCGACATTCATTTCGTTGAAATTCACCTTCCATTAAGTATATTGAAAGTATGTTTTGAATTTAATCTTTCTATTTATACAGGAAACAATATATAGTATTTAATTGTGTTTTTATAACAATTGTATGTTTAACTTTCTAATTCTCGAATCATAATTTTAAAAAGATAATTTTTAGACTATAAATACTCATTTAAAGTTGTTTTTTTACACGTCACGTCTTATCATCAAAAGCTTTTCCAATTTTTTTTTTCAAATACTTCTTATCGTCCACCTAGCATTCAAAAACGTACATATTTTCATGAAAAAAAAAAAAAAAAAAAAAAAAATCGCCGTAGTAGATTTTTTTTTTTTTTTTTTTTTTTTTTTGCAAAAAAGTATTACAAGCATAAAATAAATCTAACTGGACAAATTCTGCAGATACAGAAAAAAAAACAGACAAAATTAAAAAAAAAAAAAAAAAAAAAAAGAAAAAAAAAAAAAAAAAAAGAAAAAAAGAAAAAAAATCAAAATCTATTTTAGATGACTGGTTTTGTTTTGTATTGTTTTGTTTTTTTTGTTAATTTCGGTTTCAAAAACCAAGGCGCATCCGAACACTGCACTTATTAGAATTTTAAAATATAAATTAAAATCGCCCATCGTAATTCACCAATGATGAAAGAACTCATATTTTTTCTTGTATTTTTTTTTCAAGGGAAACATTATGCTTGTCGATACTCCAGGCGTAGGGGATTGTGACAAGCTCAATGAAATTCTAGAGGAGTATCTGCCTTATGCTGTGGCTTTTGTATTTGTTGTAAATCCAGCTAGCGGAGGGGGGATGCAAAAAGACAGGGTAAGATACAATAACTTGTAAGTGGTAATGAAACTGACAAGATCTGAGGTATAATTTTTGTCACAAGCAGTATATTTTAAGAAATATGAAAATCATTTTACAATACTTATATAAAAAAATGTAGAAATTTTACTTGCCTTCTGTTTTTTATGAGGCACCTTCTCAATTCAACTAAAAACAATGACCACAGTAATTCTCAGAATCGGAAGCACTGTAACTTATCCAAATACAGTTTAATTCTCTCTTAAAAAGACACATTCAAAATTTTGACAACGAGAAAGTTTCACACTATTTTTCATGATAAATTATTTCACTTTTCTGGACTCACAACTTGTCAATTTTCGGGCATTTAAAACTTATGAAGGAATAAAATTACTTTAATGTCTTAAACCTTTCCTGAATTGAAGCAGAATGGTCAAAGATATTCTATATCTTCATAGAATGAAATCAAAAGTTGAGGTCTTTGATATAAATTTGTAGATGTTATTAAAAAATGCTAATTTTTAGCTAAAGTTGATGCCATTGTTTCCCCCTGGAATTTCAGAATAAATTTGCTATATTTCTTCCAGTATGATTACAGAATTCATAATACTTAATTTGATAAGTGATTTGGGACTAGCATAAATAATTTCAGTGTACAAAATAATTCTATGTGCAACCTGCATGAAAAAATAGGAATTCAAACTTAACAATGTGTCACAGGGTGAATTATAATTAATTAATTAATTAATATTACTAATTATCATTCATATCATACTCATACATTTGTCTAAGGCATTATATTATTATAGTAACTAGTGAATTCCGTTCTCACTACGGAATTTACTACGTTCATTCATTGCCTTATTCATTCATTCATTCATTTATACGGGTGAGTGGTCAGTGAGAGTACGGGTGTGTGAGTGGTCAAACTGGTTTTATTCTGTCCCCTGCGCATTCGCGCCAATACTAATTCTCAAGCACTCCAACCTAAGACTTTGGGGAGAGAAGACGCTCTCTCTCCCCAACACAACTTTATCTCACGATAATTGTGAACTTTGTCTAGGATTTACGGTAAGAAATAACTGGTAAATTATTTCTAAGGATTCAATTATTATTCAATATCTCTTTGATCATTTTATTCAAATCGAGTATTTTCTAAATTATCCAAATTTATAAAATTTAAATTATGATCCGCGTAAAAGTGTGAGTGAGGCGAGAGATATTTAATACCTGTTGTTATATTTCAGGTCACCCTTCCTTCTATATTATAAAATTCCACAATCGTAGAATATATATTATATATAAACATCGAACCCAGCAGTCGTGTTGTGTTGTATTTTACCACATATATAAGGCTGTGATAATGGCGCCCAACGTGATTAATATTTTCTACGCTGGAATTTTCATTTTTTCATAAAGTCTAAAGGGTGATTCGTATTTATATCATCGTTGGAGTTCTTCATTTGTTCATTTTAAAAATGTTCCTTTGATTGCTGTTATTTAATACTCAATTCAACTGTGTCTTCATCTGTTCATCTGTGATATTGAATTGGACCCGCTCGAGCAGAACTGAACACTGATCACCAATGATTCAATACTTCATTCATCGTGCGTGACTTTTACAGCTGTTACTATATATATACCGATAGGCCTGCACCGCTGGAATGCGTTTCCCATCTAGACATTTCGCGTGCCATCCAGGATTCATGTTCCAGGGACTGTGACTTTCTCTATATATTTATTTTATTGACTGTTAATTTTCAATTCATTTGTTTAATATCATATATTTCTGTCATTGTTTATATTCATGTATACACGTGTGTGAAGTGCGTGCGTGTAAGGGAGTGTAAAACTTAAATAACTTAATTCAGTTCAAATTTAGTACACAGTCAAGTGGCATTACAGTTAAATTAGTGACAAGTTAACATGTCAGCATGTGCTAACATTTTTTTGCACTCTATTAACATTCTCTTATTTTTCTGAGCAGAGGAAATTCGAGTGAACAGGTGCGTGTTAGATTGTGACGGTTTCAGTCATCATTTAGATCATTCATTTCATTCATCATTATTATGAAATTAACAGTGCTAATATTTGACTAAATTTAAATTGTACAGTGTAGTCATAATAGAGCTTAGACTAACACTCTTACTACTAGCTGATACACGATCTACATTACTTCGTTCTGTTATTTCAGATTACAGGATAAGGTGTAGCAGTTACAAAGAAATATTAATTACTATTTTCTTTATTACAGATTACAGGAAATCAGCAGATTTAAACCAAAATTTACTTTTGTATTTAGTTTATAATTTGTTGTTTTAAGAGTTTAATTTACTGTAATTAGCTTTGATATTTAATGAGTAATAGTAAATTACAGAAATACTTAGATAGACCAGTAGAAAAGAAGAAATTAGTTAGTCAGCCTGTATTAGTTAGTACAAGTTTGGGTAACTACCTGAAAAAACATCTAAATCTTTTAATTAAAACAATATCATTTATTCTTGCATTTTGAATGTAGACCTGGTGCTCGATTTTCGGATTTTTATCCTTGGTTAAATTACAATTTACGTGCTCTTTTGGACGACTACGGCCATTTGACGTTGTATGTTTGGCTTGGAACATGTGATATCACTAGTAAATCTGGTAAGTTTATTTCTTTAGTTTCCGATGACTCACAGTCTATTGTGGAGAATGTTGTTCACCATATAGATAGTTTTCATTCAATTGTCAAAGAGTTTAAGAGAGTCAAACTCATATTTGTGGAAATTCCTCCATATTCTATAGTAGAATGGAATAAAAGTAGAGGACATATTGATCCTGATAGTTTTCTTGATCAGGACAAAGTTTTGATCGAAATTATAGATTCCATAAATTTTAATATTAGGAATGTAAACAATAAATTATCTGTCTATAGTCCCAGACTTAAACTCGATATTTTGAAGTACAGAAAAGATAAAGGAAAATCTCAAAGAGTTTCATTTAATTTTCAATTGTATTTGGATGGAGTTCATCCCGGTCCAATGTTGGCCAGAGCGTGGTTAAAAGACTTATAGAGAACATTTTTGTACACTGTTCTTAAATGTCTTAATATATACAGTGTTATTGATACATTACTGTTCATCTGGGAACAGGTATCTGTTGGCAGGGACTGACCCAATCACAGAAATCATACCTGTTACTCAATACACTGTATCATAGATTTATTCATGTACATAGTATTACACTGTTGGGTTTGTATTGGTAGGGATTGACCCAATCATACTTTTATACCTAATAAGTTGTAAATTTACTATTACATGTGATACTGTCATTATTTTACAAAATGGCAGAGGCAGGTAAGAAAGAACAAAAGATACCATCAGACAAGGCAGGAATAGGTGAGGATACTGATGCAATCTCTATACAGCATCATATTTCTGAGGTACAGAAAGACCCCAACTACAGAGTGTTAACTAAAGAGGAATATGACGTTTTAGTAAATGCTAGTTTAAAGCAAAGCAACACTAGTACCCCTTTGGGTAAACCAAATATGTCACCAATGGCAAGACTCTTAAATAGTAAACCATTAAATTTTGACTTCCCCAAAACACCAGATGTCCCTTCTACCCCTACATGTACAATCAGTACCCAATACAACTTTCCAAAATTACCAACATTTAGTGGTGCTGATGATCCTAAACAAGGTGAGGTCAAATATGAAGTATGGAATTTTGAGGTCAAGTGTATTCAAAATTCAGGCCAATACCCTGAGCACATTTTGCTCCAGTCTGTAAGAAATTCATTAAAAGGGCTTGCCCGATCAATGTTAGTTTCTATTGGAGAAAATGCTTCTCTAAAAGATATTCTAACCAAACTTGATGGATTTTTTGGAAATGTTGCTTCAGGGGAAACTCTTATGCAATCTTTTTATAATGATATGCAAAAAGAGGGAGAATCACTTGTAGTGTATGCTTCTAGATTAGAGGATACTTTATCCAAAGCTATAAAATTTGGCCATATAGATGCCGTTGCAAAAGATGCTATGCTTAGAAGTAAATTTTGGACTGGTTTGTACAATGTACAATTAAAACAAAGTACTAGGCATTTATTTGATTCAATTAAAAACTTTGAACATCTTCTTAGGGAAATTAGAAAAGTACACCAGGAAGAATTATCAACTCCTGTGAGAAAGACACAGAAAGTATTCCAACATGCTGAGAGAGCAGAAACAACAGATTTACAAAAGGAACTTCAGAAATTGGCATCAACAATGCAAAGGTTAGAGAGCAAAATTGACAGTAACTCTCAAAGTTTTCAGCAATTAAGCAATAAAGTTAATCAGTTGGAAAAAATGTCAAACCAACAAAGTCCAAATTTTATTGGGTCAGGTAGAAGTAGAGCAAGAGGATTCGGTTTTCGTGGAAACTCTAGTAGAGGCTATGTTCGCGGACGAGGTCAATTTCGGGGTCAAGGTCATTTCAATGTAAATGAGAACAACCGAACTCGGTCAAACAATCAAGTGCCTCAAAAGAGTAACAATTCAACAAACTAGTAACCTCTTCTATTAAAGGGCAAATGGGGGAGGAATCTGTAAATAATAGCCCTGAACAAAATTTGTTGTCAAGAATGGTGGGTCATTCAAATGAAAATAGAATCATTATCAATGGTGTTGAGACAGAAGCTTTAATAGATACAGGTTCTATGGTTACTTGCATGTCAGAAGAGTTTTACCATTCATTGATTCATAAACCTGAACTTCACAGTATTGCAGAGTTTGAGTTGAAAGTATATAGTGCTGAGGGTAGTAATTTGCCATATTCAGGTTATGTGGAAGTAGATTTTCAAGTACCTTTTCTGTCAAAAGAATCATTCTATGTACCAGTCTTAGTTATGAAAGGAACAGAATACAGTAGTAAAGTCCCAATAATTGTTGGTACTAATATTATAAGACTGTGTAAAGAATATTCTAAGTGCATAGAAACCACTATTCCAGATGAATGGGAATTAGCTTTTACAAATTTAAGCATTGCTAGTGATAT